TTAACGATGGATTCCTTGTTTAGCGTTTGGAACTTGGAACATGAATAATCACGTCAAGTGTTTTGTGTTTTCGTGTACGGAAAACATAGTGCGTAAAAGTTTGACCGGGGTCGATCGCATCGTATCCTGGTTGGTTTTTGTTTCCGTTGGCTAGTAACAAGTCGCGTCTTGGACGGCGTTTTTTGGGGTCCGTTTAGTTTTTTGTTTCCTGAAAGAAAGGTACCCCTTTTGGGGGGTTGTTGGCTTGTGACCACGGAAAGGCGTCCGTGTCAGTTGTACCAGTACGGACATTAGAAGGTACTGAGCGGAGACCGGAACGGTTTTTAAAGTGAAGGACACCAACAACAACAACAATCAGGCGTTACATACTGGCAATAAAAGGGCAGCATCGATCACGCGGGCTAGATAAGACCAGCTGGTGGGAAAACCGAGCCCATAACTAACTCGCCAAGGTTACCATCTGTTTTTCCTGGCTGTTTTTCAGTGTTTGCTTCGTCACGACGTGCGGTACAAAAAAAAACAATTCCAAATAGTATTTTATAATATCTTCCACCGACCCCGGACGCGTAGTAGCCGTGGGGTATGTACCAGTCTTGCGGAGATTTCGGAGAAAGTGCCTTGAAAAACATTTTCAAGTGGTACTTTGTTGCCAGCAACAGAAGAGTCAGAAACCCTGACGGGGCTTCAGATTTTCTTGCAGCAGTGGGTTTCGGATGTTCTTCCAGGCACAAGGATACGGACCCACCCGTGGATTTTTTTTTTGGGCGAGGAGAACGTGCCTGTTCGTGGAAATTCGGCCGCAGTTTTTTTTTCACCAATCAGCGAACTGCTGTAACCCATAATAATAGCGTCGCGGATGACAACTGCTTGTACGACGCAAGTATGAGTCACACGTTCGACTTGGACTTCAGGAGCGCTTTTATAGGGTGTCTTCAGTTCCATCTGCGTAATTAAAGGTATAGGTGTGGTGAGACACGTATTTTTTGGGGGGGGACCACGTATAATTACTCTCCGTTCAAATGGATTTGAACTGATGTTTACGCAGCTCGATCGAGATGCCCCGACAACAAATAAATGGCAAATTTCATTCATCTGTGATGTTTCCATGATTTGATTAAACGATTAGACAAGAACGGTACGTTGGGTCCTTGCAATTGCAACTTTAGCTAGATTCCTGTCGACAAGTCCTAAAACTACCGTGCTTGATCCCCACGCGCGCTTCATACCGTTGGAATGTCGGTCGTACCAGTAGTAGTGCTCCCGCCCGTCCGCAACAAACGCATGAATGAACGGATCCATCGATCAACTACTCCTACTTGTTGTCTGGCCCTCATGTCCTCTTCTTCCTCTCATTATTTCTCCGTTGAAATCGATCGAATCCATCCATCCAACAACAAACTTCGGCCGTTCCGTTCCGTCAAGTCGCGGGTTCTCTTTGCACTGAAAACCGCCACCACCACCATGCTCACCCCGCTGGCTCTTGCAGGAGGTTGGATCCTTTGGCCTTTCTCTAGAGCAGCTACTTCGTACGTGTATGCAACGCATGTGTATGTTCCACCCAAACACTATATTGATAACAAAAGCACACCACACAGAAGACACCCAAATTTTCCCACTCTACAAACACAGATAAGACCAGCTGACCCAACCGATTGCCGCCGCTTCCGCGTGCCCTCGATTCCGCCCAGTCGTCGAGTTCCAATCGACACTTTGTGCCCTCGGTTTCATTCATGTCGCCTACGGCGGTGGGACACAGGGTCGCCGCGAATAAAAAGCCTCAGAAAGCACAAAAAAAGACAACAGTTCTGACACACAAGACCACGCCAGTTTTCCACGTACGGTCAGAGATATGAGGGAGAAAAAAAAACGCCCGTCCGCTGGGGGTATGTACTTGTAGCACGGAGGGGACTGATTGCCAACAAGGGGTGGGTGAAGTTGCGCGTGCTCCTGTGACGTGCTTTCGATGAGACAAAGCACACCGAGACGACAGACAAAGACAGACAGCTTTCGCAGAAAACGGACGGAAAACACGCTCTTACGCATCCATTCATTTCCCGTTTGACTTCAGCCGGTCATCTCTCTCTCTCCGTCCTCCCTCCTCCTCTACAAATCAAGACTATCCCCCCAAGACGCCTAAAAGAAAACGAAAACCAACACCATGAAGCAGATTATGACAACAACGGCGCAGGTGATGGCCAAAGGCTGGCTGTGGCCGCCGTCGTGGACGATGCAAAGGCGAAAGCAACAAAGCACTTTGGGTAGCATGGCAAGAAATTCACACACCCTGTTACGTTACGTGCCGCGTGCAACGACGAAGATAAACCGCCCTCACGGCACTAACGTATCCCTCTCTGCGAGCATGAAACCTTGCTCGCCCCACACTAAAGAGACAAGAAGGGGGGAGGGAGGGGGGGTGGGGGGGGGAGAAAGTGAACCACAAGCCCATGCCAACGGCAGGCCGCGCCCCAGCATGCACCACTTTCTACCGTGTACGCGCGTAAAACAAAACGAAGTGCATCATTGTAATTGTATTTGTACCGTATATCGTCTACATGACACGAAACCCGCCCCAAAGCAAAAGGTCCGGCGGTAGGTGGTACCCTGCTGCTACCATTCTCCGACACATCCATGTGAGCCGTTGTGTGTTTGCCGCAGACACCCAATGCAAATGCAGGGGTGGGACCGTAACCTTTCCCTTTCTCCTTCCTCAAGCAATCGCAGCAACGGTGTGCCATCGCCTCAAGTCAAAGGACCCTTGCTTGGATTTCATTGGCCGCTGAACACACTCCTCTCAGGTATCTCTTCCTCTCGTGTGCTCCCTCCCCCCCCCGCAGATCAGACAGGCCCACGAACAGCATAAAAAAAGAAAAAAGAGAGAACGAAAACGCAGCAGTAGCAGAGACTATTTTTCATGTTCGGTCGTCGCCATACACAACCAACAACCACGCACCATCTCTGCGGGAAAAAAAAAACTCTCCGAAATCGCAACAACAATTTTCTTGACCGTATCCAACGCTCTCTCCTTCCTCCGCACCCAAAAACCAACCTGTAATTAAACCCCCTTTTTAAGTAAACATACACCCACGCCGGCCGTTACAAATCCACGGGGGGGGGGGGGGGGGGGAGG